TAGCTGTCTGTGGCTGTCTGTGGTTGTATGTGTGCTGTCTCTGCAGCTGTCTGTGGCTGTTTGTGGCTGGCTGTGGGTGTCTGTGTGCTGTCTGTGGGTGTCTTCATGTTTTACTATTACCCATAACAATTGGCACACCCAGTCAGATGTTTAATGTAAACTTCGATACTGGTTCATCTGATCTTTGGGTACCAGGTACAACATGTGGATCCTCGTGCGGTGAGTCTACTAGTCACTGACAGCATCATCATCACGGAAGATAATTTTTCTTTCTTTCTCTATTTCTATTTGATACAGGTGGTAATCATATATTTAATAGTTCAGCATCATCAACATATAAAGCATGGAATAAACTATTTTATATCTCATACGGTGATGGTAGTAATGCTAATGGTACCTTTGCTAATGATACAGTTACAGTGCGTGGTAGTTTGATGTCTACTCACATAATAGAAAATAAGAGACAACTTTTGTGTCTTTGTTTTGCTTTTTTTAGATTGCTGGTATATCAGTTCAGCAGCAATCGTTTGCTATTGTAGCAACAGCACATAATTTTAATGGGGATCAAGCGGATGGATTAATGGGTCTAGGATATCAGAATATTGCAGCTGGCCAAGAAAATCCAGTTATATGGTCAATGTACTTGGCCGGAGAATTGACTCAACCGATATTTAGTTTTTGGTTTGGACCGTAAGTAACTTATAACCCTATTCATTTAAAATGGTTTCAATTTAATTTTTACTTAATTACGCAGAATATCAACCGGTTCAGATACAGGAGAACTGATCTTAGGTGGCTATGATACAACGAAATATACGGGAGCTTTTACATATAGTCCAGTTAAGCTGAAGGGATATTGGGAATTTGCAATGGACAGTGTGAGTTTATCGTTCTCGTCAGCAACCATAACAACAATTGCTACATCGGTTAGCGCAATTTTGGATACTGGCACAACAATGATTGTTGTACCAACAACGTACGCAAATGCAATCAATACGTTAGTAGGTGGTGCATATGATACAACGAATAATCAAGTAAGAGACGATACAGAAAAACGAGACTTATTCACTTTAAAGATCTTCGTCTCTGTTTGAAAGAGCGCCATGTAGACGGGCGAGCTTGTCTCCAGCGGAAGAATGTGT